GCGCGCTACATGTGATCCAACATCCGCAGTGAGGCTGAAGAAGCTTTGTCCGCAGTTTATGAGCACACTTAGCGCTAGTTGCTGTCTTTGGTGCCCCTCTTCACGTTGTTCGCGCCAAGGACAACTGGGCGCGTCGCGTGTTTGCGCATCTCGGACAATACAGCAACCAGCAGTCAACCTCTTTATTGGGCTATACATCGAATCATGTTGTCCAGTTATCTTTATACAGCAACAACTATAAGAGGGAGAAGGGAGGGCTGAATAAATTCCAGAAATTTTCGTACTCAACAAAGAACTACGGATTTCCTTCTTGCTTTTGTTACTATGGAAAAATATGGGACAGACAACGCGTAGTTTTAAGCAAATATAAGGAGTTTCTCCCAAGTATTTCGAGGAAATTCTTCTTTTTAAAATAGATTTTATCATACGAGAAGGAATCTGTGCGATCAGAGATGAATCAACTTATTGAAACGTTGAAGGCGGAAGAAGAATTGTAAAGGCGAGGAACCATTTTGCTGACTAGGTATTCTTGAAATTGAGAGGACTGCGGTTTTCCCAACACAGATCTGAAAACAATGCTCGACGGCCACCCATGCACCGCGAAAGTCAAAATGCACGACCCTCTGCCCGAAGAAGCCGCGTTTTCTGAGTTGAGCACTTTCTTCTCGTTCTTTATCGGGGTGATGTTATCTCCATCGAGCAGTTGACGAAGCTCTCTACTTCTGTAAACTGCTACGCGAGATATAGGTTGCTTTATCTTGGGAGACACCGAAGGCGAGGAATCGTGATATTGCTCGCATGTCTTTGGCATTTTGACTTCCTCTCCAGTGTTTCTTTGGCCACAAGCAAAGAGTCCTCCCCTATTTATGCTTAGACAAAAAATGCTGCAGTAGATGGGCGAAATGCAGTATTTCTCCACGAGCTTCTCTTTTTTGTCGCCTACCGCCTTACATCCCTTTATTCCCCCGAATACTTTGCGTCCTATTTGCTTGTGCCTTGGCTATTCGTTACCACTTTATATTAATTTCATATTCAAGATGTCTAGATATCAGGAAGCTGTATGGGCGAAGAAGTAGAAGTTCGTGTATTATTCTTTGGAAAAGCTCGGGAACTCATGGAATGCGAAGAGGTTAAAACGCGTCTTCCTCGAGTCTTACCATATGAAAAACTCAAAGAAATGATTTTTACGCAGGTAATTAACTGAGTAGAATTATCACAGTAGACTGCCAAATTTTTTTCCAGCTGTTTGAAGCTCTTAATTGCATATCTGCATCATGTGTGTTGGCTGTGGATCTCAAGTTGGTTTTACTTAATAGTTGGAAAAGATGTTCAATTGTCCTCTCTCAATATTCCATCAAAACTATAGATTGAGATGGAATTAGAACACGCACTGAATAGTACAAATTTCCATTTTTCAGATATGCTAACAAGGATGAGATCGTGAAACTAAATCCTTTAAGCGAAATCGCCGTTATCCCTCCTTTGAGTGGAGGATAACTAAGCTGCACGGAACTACCAGCCTCCTGCCGCTCACTGCACTTAGCTCCTTTTGTACCCATTTATCCAATGCCTACTATAGTTTTACCTCCTTTCCTAACCAGAATATCTCCACCTTTGCTCATCTTTTTTACTCTGAGCTCCTTGAAACACTTAACAAAGGGATAGAAATACTTAATGTTTGCAAACTGTTATTTCTAACTAGCTCAAATTGCTCAAAAGTATATCCTACTATCTAACAGAGCATATGTCTGACTTCTTAACCAATTTACCCAGAAATGTTCGTACACATGCGGTGTAACATGTTAGTGAATATGAAGTAATGAAGGGGTTTTTTTTTGCGTTATCTCTGTACTGTCAAAATGGCTGTATATGACCGCATAACGTATTTCTTCCTTCTATCAGGTGACCAAGTTTCCATTTTCCCTGCCATGGCAAAGCACAATAATTATCGATCATTGATGGCCCTACATCCGATTTCAAATAAGCTGATGCTGAAGCGGATGCGGCAGCATCAGATCCTGACGCTTGTTAGTCGATGACCATGAGGTAGTACCTGTGGGCTGGTTTGTCGTCATGCCCGCGTTCTTATTGCTAGCTAAGACTGAGGGACCTCCACATTTCACAAGCACTGGCCGATC